GACGCATGGTCGACACTCGAGCATTAACAACAAAAACCATGCTCAAGCTTATAGACAGCCTTGTTAAACCAGTCGCTACGTACACCTGTCAGATATGGCTACCGTGTACAAAAATGGCAAAGGAGATGGCTTGCGCTGATGGTTCAAGACAGAACCTTGCTAGAGCTGCAACAAAGGACGCACTTGAGACAACACACCTGAAAATGCTGAAATGGGTGCTCGGCTTACACAAGAAAGCTAACAACAACTTCTATTACGGAGATACGGGCAGGTTACCATGGGCCCTGTCGGTACTACCACAATGCCTGAGATACTTCGACAGATTGTCTCAGACATCACCCGACGTGAGCAGCGTCAACTTTCTTGTACATCAGACATTCCAAGAGCAGAAGAATCTAAACCTCTCTTGGTATAAGACCTGGAACTCGATCGCTCAGTCTGAATCCAAAGCGGCCAAATTCGCTCGATCCGACCAACACAGAGCAGAAGGAACGACCTCAACTGCACATGGAAATTTGGTTGATCACTTTGTAAAAGATTGGAGAACAGATTTAGCATCCCAAAAGAAAATGCAATTTTACTGCACTATCAAACAGGTATTCGGAGAGGAGCAGTATCTCAATCTAAAGAATAGTCAATGTCGCATGCACATAGCAAAAATCCGCTCCAGTAGCCATGACCTTCTTATTGAGAGAGGGAGATACACAAAAGAAACTGGAACGTGGACGAGAGCCTGCAGATTCTGCTGCAACAAGGATAACGTTCAAGGCTTAGAATATCTCCCCTTTTTCGAAGGAACAATCATTGAAAATGAAGAACACTGCCTCACTGAATGTCCAATGTACCACTCAGCGAGACTCTCACTGTCGGAAAACCTTAAGAGTCTTTTGCTGCTCAAGGAATACGGAGCTATCATGAATTCTGCCCATGTGCAAGAACTGGGCAAATTCCTTTGCAACTGTCACCGCATCAGGAACCCGAAAAAGACGCCAATACTGCCTGTCACCCCATCAGGACTACCAACTCAACAGACATAATACAGATCAACCATCATTATGCAGATTTCACGATCTGTTGTACGAGCATGGAACACTAGTGATTACTGTTTCCAGTACGTTGTGACTGTGAGTGGGAGGACTGTTTGAGTATGAATGTGTCTTTTGTGGACTTGAATACTAATATCGCAGTTTAGTGACCATTGAAGTTGCCTTTTACTACTTCCTCTTATGTTAAATTATTATTTCAGCAATTATTTCTATTTCGGTTGTTTGTACGGGAGTTAAATTTTAAGTAATTTTGTTTTAAATTTTCATGATTCTTGAATCTCGAATTTTACTTACTCTAGATATGTTATTCATTCATGTATAGTCGAGACGATGGTGTTAGTGCCATCTCCGACAACTTTACGTTTAATTCCGTTTAATTCCGTTTAATTCCTGTCATGCTTTCGCCAGTTATATTGGCCTCTAATCTCACGTACGACACACCCTAATTATTAGAGGTTCCCACCAGGGACAAAAGGAAATCGCGGCATGTGCGGAATCGCGATTTTTTCCCATTCTTTGCGACAAATTTTATGTATAGTTTAATATACCGCGAAATGTAATTCGCGGTATCGCGATTTTTGGCCAAAATAACCGCGAAATCCTTTTGTCCCTGGTTCCCACCCTATGATATGTTAGAGTGTCACGTGATGAGTATAGTTAGTCACGTGAATGGGTTAATCAACAACAAAAGTAAGCAACTATCCGTCTCGGTCTGGCTAGTAAAGTAGTAACAGCACTTATTCTAAATTCTAATAAGATGCGTTACATGGTATCAACCATGAAAACGACAAACTGGGGCCCAATTTGTTGAAACTTGAACGGTTAAGATTATCAGGTAGTTAGTCGTCTGTCGTATGTTATTTTGTGACCACGGAGAACCTAAAACACCTCCAGGACTATAAGCGATCAAAGTTTACAAAAATCAAGAATTCACTAGCACAAAACTAGTGTACACGACCGAACCTGCACCACTGATCTCCTGACACAATGACAGAGGGTAGGAGTATAACAGTATAACCTCACACGAAACGGCACCAGAACAAGATTAAACTAGCTCAGATGAAGTTAGTAGTTACAAAAACCCTCTAACTATAACAGTAAGTAACGGTGAGGGAGGGACAGAGAGTTTACTATCACATGGGATATTGTAAACTCATCAGACCAGGGGGTGAGACTGTTGTACTGTTGTGGGGAGTAGTTGTTCAGCGAAGGAGTCCAGTAACGTGAGGGGTTGTTATCTAATTAGGATAGCATTACGGGCATTACCGAGGGAGGGGGGCTGGAGGACGAGATATTGAAAAGAGTAGGTCACAGGATGAGGTCCCTTATACTTACAGGTGGCTGTCGGGTGGTGGCTGAGGCTGTCGGGTGGTGGCTGAGGCTGTCGGGTGGTGGCTGAGGCTGTCGGGTGGTGGCTGAGGCTGTCGGGTGGTGGCTGAGGCTGTCGGGTGGTGGCTTAGGCTGTCGGGTGGTGGCTGAGGCTGTCGGGTGGTGGCTGAGGCTGTCGGGTGGTGGCTGTCATATCAAATCATCCAATCTCTTTTGATGCATTCGTTTTTTAGTGCTCTATGAGTTTTAATACCCATGAACTGCAAATACCCTTAAGTTTTTCTCACAGCAAATATCAGATTACGATCAGAGGATCATTAGTAAAAACAAAACGAATATATAGCACTAGCAGTTAGTTACGAGACAAAGAACAAAGGAATTGCTGCGAGACCATGTGAATTACCCGACGGTTCTAATCAAGAAAGAAAGGAAATAGATATGGGTATTTACAATTGAAGGTGTGGGAATTAGTTAGATATCCTTTATTTAGTGTCGACACTGCATCTTTCTCATTAAGATACGTTGAAAACAGGAATACGTAACCACTTTCATTAGAAATAGAAATAATAAAATAAAGGGGTGGATTTATATTATATATATATTATTATGGTATTACGCGACACCTGGACAAAGTAAGGTTCATTTAAAAGTGAACTTAATACTATTCAGAATATATTGAGATTAATTTAGAATGAAAATGTCTCTATCCCAGAAATCTTTGAGTATTTAGTTAAATAAGTGATACAAAATCTGAATTGCATTAAAGTTTGCATTACAATTATAACAACTTAATAAGAGTACAGGTTCAAAAGTGAGGCCCTGTCAAGCTACTCTGAAGCTACTCAACAAAGGTCACACGGTTAGGCCATAGCTGTACTGATTGTGCCATTTATACCATCAATATTAGATTTAGACCCTACTACTAATTGTTATTCCTTAGATATGCCAGTTTCGTGCCTACACCTGATGAATTAATCAAAAGTAATGACTCGCTCTGTTGTGGTGCAATACGATTATTATTCAAAAGTCCTGGTTCTACTCTGACACGGTACAAACCAGTTCATGCGAGATTCTGGTAGAATTGGGTTTATGACCCAGTATCATAAGTTCGCTAACTCCTCCGAGACGCCCACCTGATGAATTTAATCAAACGTATAACTGAGTATGAACCTATTGGTGACGATTGATAAATAAATGACTGATTGCATATATTATATGATACCTTATCGGACCTTTATATATTTGGACGGACATTTATAAATGAACGGACATAATTATGAACGGACATTAAAATGAATGTTAGAAGGCATTCAAAACCATCAAAAATCCGATTATTATGACGTTTTTTAAATTTCAGCAAATGATTTTTAAAGTAAGAAAAGCAGTCGTTAAGCAGTAAGAATGTTAAAATATGTGTACATGATCAAACTACCCCGGTCCTGTTTGTTGTTGTTGTTAACATCACGCTTTCCTAGCACTGTTTTATTACCTCCCCTGAGTAATATTATTACCTACTGAGTAATATGAACTTTAACAACATCGGACAATGTCCTTGGCAACTTACCGTAATATCTAGAGGCTGGAACAAGTTTTTCATGTTGGCCGCGGGGACTATAGCTCATGAACTATGTTGTTGAGCCCTTGAAAACATCATTATATACTAGTAAAGTTTTCTGTGCCTCCGGCAGACCAAGGAGAACAGCTTTCCGTCGTTAACCTACGGCACAATTATTAAGTTCTCATAGTTGTCATATTCTGGACGAAAAGTTCGAAGTGGAAAAATTTTTGAAAAAAATTAAACGGACTTTAACTTGGACGGAACTTAAATCAAAATGAACGGACTTTATTTGAACGGACATTAAAATAAACGCTAGGGCCTCCAGCGTTCAATTAATGTCCGTCCGAATAAGGTCCGATAAGGTATTGGATTAGCTTATTACATGTTACACGATTGTTTCACATACTGACGAATTATGTAAGGTCCTTTATCAGATAATGCGTTTTATAAAGTTAAACAATAAACATGTGATTACATAAATATATGCAAAATTTTCAAATTCAATGTGGAATTTACTGAATGGCGCTCGGCCTGTCACTCTGCCATATATGCATCTTACTAAGCGAGACGATATATATGGAGGGTTCCGTACCATTTTACTGACACCACGGCATCAACTTTAACGCGACTTTTCGCAAAAACCGTAAAAGATATACAACTGAAACGTTTTTGACTGGGTCAAATGCTTTAATGGCTTCCAAATCAGCATGAAAAAATAAAAAATTTACCAAGAAATAGGAGTTTTAGAGCCCAAAATTTGGACCCCCAAGTGGTGTCAAAAACGCGAATTAAATAGGTAATAATTATTTTAGTCGCTTGAGTCTTGACACCATATTAGGGTTATACGGGTTTCTGCTAGTGCAGTAGTGCTTATAAACAGTAAAGACTGGGGACCCAGATTGTATGGAATATAATAAAATACACCATCACAGATCGGGAAATTGAGCGGCCATCCACAAAAAAAGTGGCCGCATTTCTTGTTATATTCAAATTAACGGAGTAAAAACTAAAACTAAAACTTATAGTACTAATGATTTCAAATATAGAGTGGAAAGTGTTAAAATGAAATAAGATCTTGAGCCAGAGGTTGGTTATACTTGCTCGATGAGGTTGCCGCATGTACTGAGCACCACATCTAATCCACCAAACTTTGTTTTCCAGCTCACAATACATTTACATAGAGCACCTTGGGAAGCCTGTTTAGTTCAACAATTTGCTGTTCAGTTGGTATTACTTGCGTTTGGTCCGCAATTTTATTGGATATGACTTATGAAGTCAGAAGGGTGGCGACTGATAGCTGCTTTCCTTGCTGGATGTTTATGGATTTCGTTACTTTCCTTTTGTCTTCGCCAACCTACAAAACAAACTGTTGAGGTGGAATATGCCAGCAAATTTATAGATGTTGATACTAAAACTCAAAGTATGGCATCCAGTATACCCCATCGGCCGTCTCAAGATCCTGCATTTAATCTAAAACTTAATCCAAACAAGAAGTTAATAATTATAGTGGCAGCCTTTCGAAGTGGGTCGACGTTTTTAGGAAACCTGTTCGACAATAATCCTACGATGCAGTACTTGTTCGAGCCGTTTCACAATGCTCATATCCGGAACCTCCGTGACCGGAATGGTCTATTCGGGGCGAGACCTGACCACACGGAGAGTGACTTGAGGATGTTGTATCTCCAGCAGATGTTACACAACTGTACCATCTACCCCACTCCTTTCCACCATCAATATGCTTGGTGTGGTTCAAAAGAGGAGAATTTACTTCGCTTCAATTCGACTGAGTGCGGGGGAAGAAAGATACCCGGATCACAGCAAGAGATCTGTAGATATCGGGACACTACCGTGATCAAGGTTATAAGACTAGCGGATCTGTCTGATATCCTGAAAATAGCCCAGATAAGATCAGCCAATGTTAAAATTATCCAGCTCCTAAGACACCCTGTCGCTCTGATGATGTCCAGACGGACCGGTGGTGAGTTCTTTATGTGGGACATCAAGACTAATGTTGAGCTCGTGGCTGGGGACATCAATCAGAGGCGGATTAAAATTGCTTGGGAGGCGTTCAACTACTGTAACGACCACTTAAAGGCTATGGAACTGGTTGAGAGTGATCCTTGGCTGAAAGACAGATACTTGAGAGTAACTCATCATGGAATGTCACTGAAACCTCTCGAAACTGCAGAGAAGGTTTACTCATTTGTAGGGGCTACTTTAACCGATCATATTAAAGAATACATTCGAAATATTACTGAGGCCAAATCAGAGGGTTTCAAAAGTGCACCCAAATTGGCTTTAAATGTGTACATGAATTCTACGGACCTTGCCACAAAATGGATGAAACTGGTTTCGGCAACGGTTAAATACTGGGACGTTTTCTCCATTGAAGCTCAATGTAAACGGATGTTTAAACCGTTGATTCATGAATTTTCTGTTGACACAATACCTGACTTACAGCTGTTGAAAATAAACTCTGCATTAGATGAGTTATATGATCAGATTGATCTTGAAGAAACTGATGAAGTACTGAATCTCTCTGTTGTGGTGCAGTAAAATTATTATTTTTATTCAAAAGTCCTGGTTCTACTTCTAGTTCTACTAGGATACGGTATTCCGTACAAACCAGTTGATGCGAATCTCATGTAAAATTGGGTTTATGATCCAGCATCATGAGTTCACTAACTCCTCCGAGATGCTGCTAAAGGATGAAATAACAAATAAGAGGTGGCTCTGTGCGTCCCGGCGTTATGTGTGCTATATAAATAGTAATGGCATGTTTCTTAGAGAAGACGTTTTTAGCTTTTAATTTGTTTTCAGGTTAAAGATAAAATCATGACCGATGGGTGGGAACCACTTTAAATTAATAGCTCTTCTCCTAGTTATTACTTACATTAACTTGTTATTTGTTAATACAACTATTAATTTATTAAGTATACTAAATACTATTAGTTTACTAAATACTAGTATATTAAATACTAATATACTAAATACTAGTCCAAACGATCATAATAGAGTTACTTACTTCTAACTTATCATGGACTTATTACGATTATATCTCATTACATATCTTGAAATGGAGAAATAGTATATTATACCGTAAATACCGTATTATCGCTTATATAAAGTTGAACAATAGAGCTGCTGGGTTATCGTGATCAAATAAAATCCTTTACGAAGTTGAGCAACAATGACAAACTAACAACATAACGAAGTTTACTGGTCAACTGGTGTTTCGGTGTCCCTAATTTTGATTACACTCGGTCACTTGTCATTTGTCAAGGCATGTAAGGTCATTCGGCGAAATTTTCTTTGAAATAAAATGATGTATTTGTGTAACAATTTGAAAGTTTATTGATAAAATTTAAAAAAGGGTTCAAAGAAACTGGATAGTTAGTAATACGGATTTGCACAGTAACAAAGAGAATTAAAGGTACCACTGGTAGGTACTCTCAGGTACTTGCAGGTATCATTGTGACTTGTGAACATTTTGTACTCAGTTTGAAATTTGAGATGACTGCATCCTCCTGTTTTCAACTCTAAAATGAAATTCCTGGGTCAAATAACAATGGTTTGTTGCTAAAAGTAAACTGTTCGCATTTTTGGTTAGAATTTGTAAGCTACCTTACTCGGGATTATTACGACGGGTTTATTAACGACCGGTTAAAATATGGTTCGGGAAAAATATGGCGAAATTGCTCAAAACCCACCACATTTTCCCGGTCGCCATTTTACCGGTGTCCAACCTTTCAATTTTAGATTCAAAAATTTTGTCTCAGATGTAAATTTCCTTATTAGAGATAAGCAAGTTTAGAAATTTTCGCATTGCTAAAACTTGTGAAACAAGTCGAATTATCAATAATTGTTGAAAGTAGACAGAAATAATGACTCGTGGTTAATCAAACTAGATGGAAAATAATTTTTAACATTTGAAGCGTAACAACCAGATCGATATTAAGATAAAGGGAGAGCTGTTTAGTCTTCCAATAAGTTGTAATCATCTTCGTTATCTTCATCTGGATCATCCCTTTCATCAGTTTTAATTAATTCAAGTTTTAATTTAACTGTTACTTTTACTTTGAGTCCTATTTCATTATGTAGAGATAGTCAATACCTAAGAAATTAAAAATTGGCCTATTTAAATCAAATTTGACAATAAGGATATATGACAAGAATTGGGCAAAAAGGTGAATTTTTTGCAATTTTAGCCAAATGAAGTCGAAAAACCTACAACAAGTGTCCCAATAGTCTTCTTTAGTGAATATAAGACAACGATTAAAATATGAGCACCCATACCCCTTGGGAACCCTAAAAGCTGAGACGGCGGGTTTATTAACGACCGGTGAAAATGTGGTTCGGGAAAAATATGGCGAAATTACCCTAAACCCACCACTTTATCCCGGTCATAATAATTCCGAGTAAGGTAATTGTATTCTCCAGTTTAGAAATCGTTGCCCGGCAACCGAGTAATTGAAAAGTTAAAACATGCCTGCATAAGTTCATGACCATGTCATAACTCATAAGGAAATTACTAGGTTAGCGATAGCTAGAATTAGATTCCGCAAACTTAAAATTTCCGATTACTAGCGCTAATTACCTTACTCGGGAATATTATGACTGGGATAAAGTGGTGGGTTTTGGAAAATTCCGCCATATTTTTCCCGGTCATTAATTTTCCCAGTCATAAATTAACCCGCTATAATGTTCCCGAGTAAGGTAAACTAATAGTAATAGTAATACATTTTGATGCTTGGTGGGTTTTGGAAAATTCCGCCATATTTTTCCCGGTCATTAATTTTCCCAGTCATAAATTAACCCGCTATAATAATAATATTCCCGAGTAAGGTAGCTTGATATGGCGATATCAAGATGGAAGATATAATCAATAATGTATCGTTTTATATTAACGTTATATATTAACTCTAGATATAACTATAAGGTATAAAGTAATGTTAACTCTCTAGTAAGATATAATGTAATTTCGACTCTAGATGTAAGGTACAAGATAATGTCAACTTTAGATGTAAGGTATAATAATGTAACGTTAACTCTAGATGTAAGGCACAAGTTAATGTTAACTCTAGATGTAAGGTACAATAAAGGGAACAAGATGCTGTTGGAATTTTAATTATTCATCTTCCACCCGTAGTCCCAAGAACATACCATAAACGTTAAGATTGACGGTGGTATCCGAATGGCTGGAATCAGGTAAAGAACCAGAAGTCACTCTGCAAGTGTAGGCAGTATCTTCATTCACAAGAGTTCCGTCTACAGCAAGAGTTGATGTTTGTGTTCCTCCAGAATGGATTCCTTGGACAGGGGTGAATTTTTCATCTGGAACTGGTCCTGTACTAGTTCGCCACGTCACTGTTGCTGTTTCTGTCAATCCAGTGATAACACAGGATATTGTTGTATATGAGCCTTTCTTCACTTGTTTGTTTACTGATTCAACTTCTGAAGATGGTTATCATAAAGCATTTTGAAGTTTGGCTGTAAAATATAAATTCAATCTCAAATTATCAAAATTGTTATCGAAATTTATTGTTAGCGTTTAAAGAACATACCATATACGTTAAGATTGACGGTGGTATCCGAATGGCTGGAATCAGGTAAAGAACCAGAAGTCACTCTGCAATTGTAGGCAGTATCTTCATTCACAAGAGTTCCGTCTACAGCAAGAGTTGATGTTTGTGTTCCTCCAGAATGGCTTCCTTGGACAGGGGTGAACTTTTCATCTGGAACTGGTCCTGTACTAGTTCGCCACGTCACTGTTGCTGTTTCTGTCAATCCAGTGATAACACAGGATATTGTTGTATCTGAGCCTTTCTTCGCTTCTTTGTTTACTGATTCAACGTCTGAAGTAATTTATGGTAAAGCATTTGAAGTTTGGCTGTAAGTATAAATTCAATCTCAAATTATCAAAATTGTTGTGCAAATTTATTGTTAGCGTTTAAAGAACATACCATATACGTTAAGATTGACGGTGGTATCCGAATGGCTGGAATCAGGTAAAGAACCAGAAGTCACTCTGCAAGTGTAGGCAGTATTTTCATTCACAAGAGTTCCGTCTACAGCAAGAGTTGATGTTTGTGTTCCTCCAGAATGGATTCCTTGGACAGGGGTGAACTTTTCATTTGGAACTGGTCCTGTACTAGTTCGCCAAGTCACTGTTGCTCTTTCCGTTATCCCAGTGATAACACAGGATATTGTTGTATATGAGCCTTTCTTCACTTGTTTGTTTACTGATTCAACTTCTGAAGATGGTTATCATAAAAAATTTTGAAGTTTGGCTGTAAAATATAAATACGTAATGAAATAAGAAAAACTGTAGTGCACGATGATTGTGTTAAATCAAACCGTTGCAATTGTGTTTGAGATTTTCCTACCAACGATCCCGCCTCGATGGTGTATCCTTGGTCTTGAGTCAGCGCATCATCATTCGCAGACGTCGTCCATTTTATGGCACTGAGTGCCTGTGTTCAACGAGAACAGGTTAGACTTAGACGATCTCAGTCTAACCTGTTCTCGTTGAAAAAGCGTGACTTAAGTTACCGAAGTTTATTTCTTTATAATATATAAATTATATTATATGATTTAAATTATTTTAGGAGTATTGATTTTGACAGAGCGAATTGGTGCAGAATGCAAGCCTTATGATTCTGTTTTTTGAGAAAGATAAGATAGCAGTGTTGTGTTTACACTATCTGTTATTTGGTGCCTCAAGTGCCTTAGTGCCTCAGTGCCTCAAAGTGGTGCATCAAGGACCTAAAGTGGTGCCTCAGTGCCTCAAAGTGGTGCCTCAAGGGCCTCAAAGTGGTGCCTCAAGGGCCTCTGCAGTGCCTCAAAACTGGTGCCTCAAGGTCGTCTCACGGAAAACCATGCACGATAAAAACTCTAGAGCTTAAAAAGGAAAAATGTGTTTTGTAATTTACCCTCACAATCAGTTAGAGAACTCGCAGTCCATCTACTTCTTGCTGTTATGTGCGTAGTGCCCACCAGAAAGCACTCTCGGTAAGCCCAATACGCGGGACTCACGGCTACTCCTTCACAGCGGGGATTAGCATCACACCATTCCTGACAACTCTCAAAACTCCTGAACTGTCTTTGTGCTAATTTATGGGAGTCCGGAAACATACCAACATTCTGCTCGTAGCTTGTATAACAGCCTCGGTTGCTATCTGAAATAGATTATAGATACGTTTGCGTAAAACTGGGTGAGCGTAAGTGTCTAAAAGCGGTTACCAATTACTTATTCTTATTTTAGTTAGTTTTAGAATTTTCGTTGTATCGTTGACGGTGAAGGTCATATCTAAATAAAAATTGATAAATGTGTAATTAATAAAATATGTTTAATAAATTGTGTTTATAATTATGGTGCATTGTTATTATATTTATATTTTAGGCTGTAACCTTATAAGTCCAATGGAATAAACCTAGCATGCCTTGGTTGCAGCATCACTTCACTTATATAGGGTCCGATGTAATTGCTATGACCAGTTTACTGGTCAACTAGTGTTTGATCGGTGTCCCTAATTTTGTTTACACTTGGTCACTTGTCAAGGCATGTAAGGGCATTCGGCGAATTTTCTTTGAAATAAAATGATGTATTTGTGTAGTTAAGTTTCAACGGCTTAGTGGCTCAGTTGGTTAATCTGCCTGGCATTGCTTGAGGTACCAGGTTCGATTCCCGACTCTGTCACTAGCCGTGGGGTGAGCGTCGTCGACGCTCAGCTATGGATCCTGAGTGGTCTATGCAGCCCCCCGGTCCAATCAGCCAAATACTCGAGAAATCGGGTGTGAGTGTTAAATGAGGAGCTGCCCATTGCAGCAAAGTCTCGGACGAAGAAAGTATGGTACACACTACCTTAACCGTCACTGGCCTAATGTATAATTGAATCCTTCAGCTTCCTGTAATTGGCTGGTTACATACTTGTGTAACAATGTGGCTGTTGGAATGTCCGAAGTAAAATAAGTGTTCAGATTTAAAAAAAAAACGTCGGTAGATGCAGGCGAGTATGCGTACTGTGAAGTTATCAAACACAAGTATGTGAATAATGCCTGATCGGAACAAACAGGCTTTACTAACAAAGTTATTTTTGTCAACTGGATACCGATACTACCATTTGTTCCTTGCCAACAGATTTGGTGGTATCCGAGACTGAAACTTTCGTACCTTGAGGATCTACACCCATGTTCCCACTGATGAAATATAGTAGCAGAACTTTAAACAGAAATTGCTGCACGACCATATGGCTATCTATAGTATATGGTTACTAATTTATTACGGAACTTCCTATTTCTCGTATAATTTAGATCTATACTCGCGTGGAGAGAATGTGTGTTTCACAAGTGTAGAAACAGCTGAAAATGTAAACCAGGTTCTTTGAGTAATACCGTTTAAAGTGAATTATTAGGTAACATAAATTAATTGATGACAAGCATAACTGATCTGGTACAATTAAGCGGCAATTGAACAACTGAACAGCGAGCTTAAAACTTAAGGTTATTAAAAAGGGTGCTTTTATAAAATGCACATTAAATGATGCAAACGCTATAAATATTACGAGGTAATGATAGTGAGTCATGAGTTCGTTTGCAGATCGTGGAGCTTCCCGTTTGGCACGGAGTTAAGTTTTAGATAAAAATAGACATAATAACACTAAATAAACATTTATTGAACGACTAATTATATCCGAGTTCATACATATTAAATATCAGAATATGTGATTTAGTCTCATCGAGAATGCAAAACTACCGTAGCAATTCTTTTGATTCTAAAGTTCCAGAAAATTAGTCAAGATTGCTGGTGGTTGACCAAACCGGAAGGAATTAGACAGGAGCACAAAGCTGAATAACTCCTGAATAGCTGTGACAGTTAACACGCATTTTTGAAAGCATTTCTTACTTACAAACTATCGTATCATTTATGGACACGTTCATTGAAGTTTGACTTTGAGGATATCGGTAAACAAAAAAATAGCGTTTTCGACGATAGTGGCTTAATTTGCATTGCAAATTCCAAAATTTGCAATGCAAAATTCAGAATTTGGCCGCCAAATTTTTTAAAAGGCCTAACTCAAAATTCCAATACAAAACTTAAGGTTGAAATGCGATTCTACGTTGATTATGAAAATTTCATGTAAAAATATTGAAACCCTATCGAGTTCTATTGTTTTGAGCGAAATCAGTTTTGCAAATATCGCGAACTGAGATATGGGCAATTTTGTTCATTTTTTGCGATTATTTGACCACAGAATCCACAGTTAGGTAGATACTGAGCTGATAATCATAGATAATGTGTAGTATAGGCTTACCTTCCATATAAAGTTGGTTTCATTCAAAAATATTGATATTTGACCAATTTATGGGACAAAATCGATCAAATTTGGTGCGTATGCCCAAATATGGTCATATGGTTTTTGGCTCATAACTCAGTCATTTTTTGTCTAATCTTGATGAAAATTCATATACGAGTTTAGGGGACCACTAGCTACAAGTAGAACACCTAAAATCTGGATTTTGGGCATGTTCAGGGTATTTGGCTAAATTGGGCCTAATTTGGACCAAATATGGGCGTGGCTGCCCCGCGGGCACCGTTTGGCGGTTGGGGTCCGGGACCCCCTCAAAAGTTCGGTCACTGGTCATAGTTTGTTGGTCAACTGCTATCTCGAAACCAAGTTTCACAAAAAAATCAGGGTGAACCCCTGATTAGCTGCCCAATAAACATCTAGCATGTTCAGAAATTCTGAAAATTAGCCCCGTGACCCATGATACTCCCATATGCACTGCTCAGAAAAAAATGTATTGTTGTTAGGCAGTATGATGGTTAAAATGTCACATTTTTGTGACATCTATAATAGCTGCCCAATAAACATTCCTTAAAGAGACCGATTGGTCTCAAATATAGTAGATGAGGTCAAATATCTAACAATTATGATACAGGGTGGCCCATAAGTGACTACCCACACGCAACCTCTTAATAACTCACGTAATTCGTCTCCAAATTGCACCAAAATTTCAGAGATTATAGATATGGGTCAAACTTAGATTTCCTGAAAGTTTCGTAAGCCACGCCCAATTACAGTGGGCGTGGCGTGACACTCCCTCTTTTTCACTATTGTCTTCATAAAATGAGAACGCTTTAAGCTAAGAACTCAAACTTTTTTGCACACATTTGGCTTGATAATTGAAAACTTTTCCTAAAGTTTCAAGTTCATTGGTTAAAATATGGCTAAGTTATGACCATTTCAAAACTCATCGGATACGTGATCCGAGCACTCAGTCAGTGATCTTTTCACTTGGTTAATGGCCTGTTTGGCTCACATGCACCGCTTGATTGGTTGCAGCCTGCTTATGGGCCGGCCTATACAGCTGACAGCACCTAAACAACCCCTACCTCACCACGGACTGGTGGTTCATGCAGGATGGAGCTCGACCTCACATCGCGTCGTTCGACCAGTTCAGAATTTCCTCGCTAACAAGTTCGCTCACAGAACCATCGGACAACATCTTGGAACACACTGGCCGGCTAGAAGTCCTGACCTTGCACCGTGTGACTTCTTCCTGTGGGGGTGGGTAAAGGACCAACTCTATAAGAGATATTCTATTGCAAACATCACGCAGCTAAAGCACCACCTGATCGACATCATCCATAATATGGACCCAGCGTTTGCTACGAACGCTTGTCGGAGTGTGAAGAAGTGGTGCCTCAAGTTGATTGCAGCTGGGGGACGACAAATTGAACATCTTAATTGAAATTATTGAATTGTTTTTGTGTGGGGATTTTATTAGTTGATTTCATTTACTGATTTATCCTAAAAATTTGTGTTTTCCTTTCTAGCAAAGTCATCATCGGTATCCAATCAAAGCCTAATGAACCTCATTAATACACGCTAACGCCTTACTCTTGACCAGATTGGGTGACGAGATCACTAATTGAGTGCAAATATCACTGACTGAGTGCTCGGATCACATATCCGATGGATCTTAAAATGGTCATAACTCAGCCATATTTTAACCAATAAACTTGAAACTTTTGGAAAAGTTTTCAATTATCAAGCCAAATGTGTGCACAAAATTTTAAGTTCTTAGCTTAAAGCGTTCTCATTTTATGAAGACAATAGTGAAAAAGAGGGAGTGTCACGCCACGCCCACTGTAATTGGGCGTGGCTTACGAAACTTTCAGGAAATCTAAGTTTGACCCATATCTATAATCTCTGAAATTTTGGTGCAATTTGGAGACGAATTACGTGAGTTATTAAGAGGTTGCGTGTGGGTAGTCACTTATGGGTACTACATTCTTTAAAGAGCACGGATCGAGCGGTTATAAGTCAATATTTCATAAACTTTGTCACACTCAAAATACAACACATCTTTTCTACTGTGAGGTGTCCTCAAAACCCTTTCAATTCATCATTTGATGGTTCTTCTACCTCTTAGCCCTAAAATATGTTGTTATTATATCATAATATTATGGTGATTTATACTAGAAAGCCCGCCCCACGAAAACCTCACTGAACCTCCACGCGGTGTGGGGCGGGTGGCTCCAACGGGAGGTGCATGGGTGTTTTAACCTATGCAAAGGAAGGGACTAGCCATCTCTACAACAAAGGAAAGGCTCTAATAGCCTCTACTTATAACCTTAGAACCGCAGCATAACCGCTCTTCCCACAGGCAAATAACACCTTCCGCAGGAAACTAACACGCTCACAGACTCCCACGTCTCGTCTAACACCAGGATTTGGTTCTGTATCGGACACTCAAAACAAAGATAGAGGAGCGGTCTACACGCTCACATGCTACCATGTCTCGTGTCACCCTAGGACTCTAACACTTAACAGATTCTAACACGCTCACAGGTTTCCACGTCTCGTGTACCCTAATATTTGGTTTTGGATCGGACACTCAAAACAACGATAGAGGAGCGGTCTACACATTCACAGGCTACCACGTCTCGTGTAACCCCAGGATTTGACACGTTCACAAGCTACCACGTCTCGTGTAACACCATGATTTAACACGCTCACAAGCTTTCATATCTCGTGTAACTACAGGATTTGGTTTTGGATCGGCCACTCAAAACAAAACGATAGAGGAGCGGTCCACACTCTACAGTGACGTTACAGGAACATTGCATACTCAATTTGTACTACAAAAGTTCAAATGTCTGCTTTTCGTTCAAGTGCACGTGTTGTTTAATCAATTTGCAGTTCAGTTAAATTTTGTTTCAGCAGCCTTGCTAAAAATCGTAAATTTTTAACTACATTTGTGAGCTAAATTGGTCAAATTGGAGGGTCAGATTATTGGCGAGATTTTAGTGTTTTTATGCCGTTGAGATTTCTTCAATTTTAAAATATAATATTATAGTGCCAAGCAGAGCAAAAGGTACAAAGCCTGCAGTCCAAAGGAGCTCCATCAGACGTTAGCCACAAGGCGGACGTAGCCTCCTTGCTAATCCGGGGAGGTAGAGTGAGCGCCCTCGACCAAAAAAAAAAAAAAAAAAAATGTTACATATGATAGTGCCGCATATTAGTGCCGCAAGTTCTGCAGTGCCACATTTACGCAAAGTCATGAGGTCGGCTCCCTGGTTGTAGTTTTATAACCTACCAAAATGTGCGCCGAATTGAACTCCTCGACGGTCTTAAATATTTAATATTTGAAACAAATATTGTACAAGTGTTATATCACCCACTAACTCCCTGGTTTCTATTATTATAATTTTGGAGACAAAACAGAGACCATAGTTATGAATGTACATTTTAATAGGTAATTGTAATATATAATAATCATTACTTTGGATTAGTGTCAGAATGATGGTGGTAATCAAAAAAGATTTGTTTCATAGTTATAGCTTTATAGGTGTAACACAAAAAGTAAATCAAACATTTTGAAAATTAAAATCATTCCCGAAACAATCTTATTTTTTGTTATAATTTGAACTGATAAAATTGGTGGTTCTGACAGTAAAACAAAGTTAGTTTATATTAAGAAATGAAAATTTTAGGGAAGAATAAGTTGTTCCGATTTTTTGATTGCATATTTCTGATAAGAAAAACTTGTTAGGATTACCAATACCAATCTTATGCTATATACACAAGGAACTCATCTTATATATTTGATTTAACGATGAAATGAATAAAGATAAGCTGGACGAAAGGGCCCACGAGAGGATAGCATGAAAATGCTTTGCCTGCTTCTCAGCTTCTGGGGTGTGGCTTCCTCATAAAGATATATTTGCTTGCTATTGTTCTGCA